CCCCAAAACCCCAAAACCCCAAAACCCCAAAACCCCAAAACCCCAAAACCCCAAAATAATTTCGAATCTTGATAATTTTAAAAGTCAAAGTTAAACTGAGAAAAACAAAAAAGAAGATGGCGTCTCTTAGAGATAGTTCTTACCAAGAAGAACACAAATACGAGGAAGAAAAATCCCTTGGAAGTGGATATAACGAAGAAGACCCAAGAAGCCTAGGTGATATCGAATTACGAGACAAAGGTACAGAGAGCGATGACGATACTCAAATGCCTCTCAATCAGAAAAAGAAGAAGTCTTTCTGGAGCTGATGAGGGGGAGGAGAGGATGAAGATGTCAGGGTAATGCATTTGTCTGGAGAAACCTTCCCCAGAAGATTCCCTAGCAACAAAATTAATAATACCAAATACAATATCTTGAACTTCATCCCAAAAGTTTTGTATAATGAGTTCAAATTTTTCTTCAATTTGTTCTTCCTCTTGATTGCACTTTCACAGTTTATTGAGCCGTTAAGAGTCGGATTTCTATTCACCTATGTAGCTCCTTTGGTGATGGTGCTTGCCATTACCATGATAAAGGAGGCGATAGATGATTTTGCAAGATTTAGGAGAGATAAAGCGATCAACCTTGCATGCTACAGAGTTTTTGAAAAAGGCGTTTGGAAAGATCTCTATTCAAAGAATCTCAAAGTAGGCCACCTAGTGAAGGTAAACCAAAACGAAAGAGTTCCAGCAGACTTAATCTGTTGTTATACTACTGAACCAAAAGGAACTGTGTTCATCAGGACTGACCAACTTGATGGAGAAACAGATTGGAAGCTAAGGAGGGCTATTGGTTTTATCCAGAACAAGGCAGAGCCTGACAATATTCCTTCACTAATGGGAGAAGTTGTTGCGAATCCTCCAACTAACAAAATCTATGATTTCCAAGGTTACTATGAAAATCGTGTTCAAAATGTGAAGGAACCTCTAAACTTAGAGCACACTCTATGGAACAACACTGTGCTTGCATCAAGTGGATATATTATTGGGATGGTTGTTTACACAGGAAAGCAGACAAGATCTGCTATGAATTCTAAGTCACCAAGCTCTAAAGTAGGAAAAGTAGATAGTGAAATTAACCGGCTCTCTAAGATCCTCTTCATCATGATGGTAATCATGGCTGGTACAATCATTATTCTTGATGGACTTACAGGAATGTTCTACATAAAATTCTTCAGATTCTTGCTTTTGTTATCAAGTATTATTCCAATTTCCCTTAGAGTGAACTTGGATATGGCTAAAATTTGGTATTCATACAGTATTGATAATGATAAAGCAATTCCGGAAACAAAGACGAGAAATTCGAACATTCCTGAGGAACTAGGAAGGATCCAATGGCTTCTCTCTGATAAAACAGGAACTCTCACTCAAAATGAGATGGAGCTCAAGAAGATCAATCTGGAATATATGAACTTCACTCAAGATAACATGGAAGATGCTGCAGAACTTTTACGCCAGAATTGAAATAAGTATGATGGGCCTCTTGGCGATTGTGATCAAGCTATGATCGATGCAAATGGAGGGATGAAAAAGCAACTCAAAATGAAAAAGAGAAGAGACCCAGAATATTCTGTCAGAGATTTCTTCACAGCTCTAGGAGTATGCCACAACGTCACACCTGCTTATAATAATGATGGAGAGCTTGAGTACCAAGCATCTTCTCCTGATGAAGTAGCTCTGGTAAAGTTTGTTGAGAAGATGGGGCTTGAACTTATTGAAAGAGATGAAGACTCTATGTCTCTCAAGAATCCTACAGGAATCAAAGAGAAGTATACAGTGCTTGCTAACTTCCCTTTCTCAAGTGAGACAAAGAGAATGGGAATCATTGTAAAGCATGATACTTCAGGAAAGTATATTTTTTACCTAAAAGGAGCAGAAGTTGTTATTGAAGATAAAGTCCAAGCCAATCAAAGAACTGTTGTAAAAGAACATTGAGAAAACCTGAGTATGGAGGGACTAAGAACTCTTGTAATTTGCCAGAAAATTATCTCTGAGGATGAATATAAAGAATGGAAGAGAGAATATAATGAAGCTCAGGCATCTCTCCAAAATAGAGACGCCAATGTCCAAGAAGTCATTGAACAGCTCGAAGAAAATATGGAGCTCCTCGGAGTCACTGGTGTCGAAGACAAGCTCCAGAAAAATGTCCAGATCACCATCGAGTCATTCAGAAACGCTGGAATCAACGTCTGGATGCTCACTGGCGACAAAGTCGAAACTGCCATTTGCATTGCCATATCAGCAGGACTCAAAAACAAAGCTCAGCGGTTCAAGTTCTTGAAAGAGATCAAAGACAAAGACGCCATCGAGAAAGCCATCAACGAAGGAGGAGAGCACAACACTTGTCTAGTCGTCGATGGGACCACTCTGGACACCTGACTGAAGTCAGAGTTCACTGAAAGAAGGTTCATCGACTATGCCAGCAAGTGTCCAGCTGTCCTGGTGTGCAGGTGTTCTCCGACCCAGAAAGCCATCATCACCAGACGCATGAAAGAGTTCTGCAACAAAACTGTGGCCTCAGTTGGAGATGGAGGCAACGATGTAGCGATGATTCAGGAGTCTAATGTTGGCATCGGAATTGTCGGGAAAGAAGGCCTCCAGGCATCGCTGGCTGCAGATTTCTCGATCACACAGTTCTCCCACCTCAGAGACTTGGTGTTGTGGCATGGCAGGCTTTCGTACAAGCGGACAGCCTCTCTGGCTCAGTTTGTGATCCACAGAGGTCTGATCATTTCAGTGATACAAGCAGTGTTTTCGATTGTGTTCTACTTCGTGGCCATTCCAATCTACAACGGGTACCTGATGCTCGGATATGCAACCATTTATACTTCACTCCCAGTGTTCACCCTTGTGTTCGACACTGACACAGACAAAGACTCTGTGATAAACTTCCCTCCATTGTACAAGACTCTGCAGAAAGGCCGACTTCTGACATTCAAGACTTTCTTGATCTGGACCAGCAAGAGTCTGTACCAGGGCGCAGTCATCTTGATGTTTTCTGTGCAGTTCTTCAACGACTCATTCGTGAACATTGTGACAATTACATTCTCTGCCTTGATCATCATCGAGCTGCTGAATGTGTACACTGAGATCAACAGGTTCGACAGCAAAATGTTCTTGGTGCTGTTCTGAACAGGAGCAATATACTTTTTGACGATCATAATATTCCGTCGCTATTTCAACACCGCATACATTGACTTCATATTCCTTGTGAAGGTGTTACTCATAGTGACAATTGCTTGGCTACCTCTGCACATTATCAAAAAGGTTATAGAGTTATGAGATCCTTCAGAACACCAGAAATTGTAGGAGTAAAGATTTAACCAAAGATTCAACAAACTGTTAATTAAAAGGGGTTTTGGGGTTTTGGGGTTTTGGGGTTTTGGGG